GGAGCCGGGAGGGCGGGAACTGGGCGCTCCTGCCCAGCGGGCCGACTTCACCCTTGGGTGGAGCCCAGGTCGGTGCGGGCCCAGGGCCGAGCCTCTGCAGTGGGATTTTGTTCATTCATTCGACAGGCGTTTTACTGAGGGTTTTGCGGTGTTCTTGCTGCCAGGGATAGGAGGTGATAGTGACGTCCAGGGCCCTGGACTGTTGAGAACATTTTTAAAAGAGTTTCATCTTGTTTTTGCGGTACTGAGGATTGCACCCAGGGCCTTCATTCAAACTGAGCTACCATCCTCCACCTTTTTATGTGTTTTATTTTTACATAGAAGTTGCCCAGATTGGGCTCAAATTTGGGATCCCCCTGCCTCAGCCTGCTGGAGTGCTGGGTTCTGAGAACTGTTTCACCAGGTCTGGTTTAAGAGGCCCAAACTTGTGCAGGCTGTGTGGTGGGAAAAGGGGTCGCGCTGCTTTCTGAACCCCTAGGGTGCCCTGAGAGCCCTGGGCTGCAGCCCTCTGCGTGGTAAAATGACCAGGGTTTGAGGCTAGGCCACTTCCCCGCTCCAGGGAAGGTGTGAAGGGCCCCACCCGCCATGCTTTTATCCCTGCTAAGTCGCCCTCCCGTTACTATTCCCTGCTGCATCGGGTATCCCTGTCGTTCTCCAGCCCTGCTCCTGGTGGCGGCCACCAGCCCTGGACTTTCTCAAGGCGTGGGTCTATTTTTGACCTTTTCACTTAAGAGCCCCTCTTTATGCCCACGACCCTAAAAGACCTTATATCCTGCACACCATTTAGACCTGGTCTAAATGCCAGGGCGATCCTCTCAGGTTTGTTCTAAGTAACCCGTCCTGACTGATGAGCTCCTACCTTTATTTTTCCTAACAAAGTGGCCACCTTCCTCTGAGAACCATGTGTCACGATTCAGGGTGAATTGGAGTATAGAGGGCAGCCGCCCTCTGTTTTGACCCAGGGCCTCACTGTGTAGTTCAGGCTTTCCTTGAATTTATGGTGATCCTCCTGCCTCAGCTTCCTGAGTGCTGGGATTACAGGTGTGCACCCCCACACTCAGCTGAGTTCTACCTCTTGGACAGTTTCCCACAAGAATATTTGTCCACTTCAGCTGTGCTTTTGTAGATTTTAGTTTAACAAATTCAGCAAATACGCCTTTCACAGGCCAACCGCTGTCCATCACCAGAACGCGCAAAACATCCTGCTTTTGTGCTGTTTAAATAGTGGCAGGAAATGGCTTAAGATTTTAGTTTGTGGTGGTTCTGTTTTCTGATTTGCACTCGTATTCATCATCGAGACTGTTTTAATCTGTGGACTTTCCCAGCTAGTATTCCATGATTTCCCCATCTGCTCTCATCTCACTGTCCTTTTTTTTTTGTTTTTTGGTGGGGGTACTGGGGATCAAACTGGGCTCCTTGTGGTTGCAGGACAGGTGGTGGAACCACTGAGCTAAATCCTCAGCCCGATTGTCCTTCTTAACAATTCCCCCCTTGGGCCTTGCTCATGCTAAGCGTGAGATCTACCACTAAGCTACATCCCCAGCCTGACTGCTTCTATACATAATCTTTGATAGAACTTTTTAGTTCCTTTTCAGGATGTACTAAGCTGGAACACTGTTTTCCAAATGTAAAAAGGTGAATAAAAATTGCAGAAAGCAAACAGCACCTGCCTGTAGAGATGGGATTGTTAAGAGGGAGGAACTGAGATACCACCTGTCTCAGTCCACAGGGGTCGCAGGAGATGGTGGCGACAGGCCGAGTGGGATTTGATTTGTTCATTCACCAGGTATTCACAAGTGCTTGCAGTATTGTTGGTGCTAGTGACAGATGAACTCTCTGCCAAAATGGAGGCTGGTAGGCAGGAGTGGCACACACTTGTTATCCCAGCACTTGGGAGGCTGAGGCAGGAAGGTTGGCTGGGCCACAAAGTGAGCCCAATATCAGCCTGAACTGCTGGTGAGGCCCTGCCTCAAAGAACAAAAAAACAAAATGGAGGCTTTTTTTTTTTTGGGTGGGCTTACTTCTGTTTAGAAAAGGAAGCCCAGTTTGTAAAATCTCTTTGGTAGGGGTCTTAAAAATGCTTTGCCTTTTCTGGGCCTGGTGACACACGCCTGTACTCCCTGCATGCTGGGAGGCTGGGGCAGGAGGAAGGAAAGTTTGAGCCCGGCTTGGGCAATTTAGTGACTTAGCGAGACCCTGACTCACAAAATAAAGAGATGTGGGTATAACTTAGTGTGAAGGCCCTGGGCGTAATCACTACTGAAAAACAAAGCAGAATAAAAAACTTCAGAATCAAGACACATTTCCAGCTCTTGTTAATACTTATCCCATAGTGATGAGTCGCTCCCAGCTTTACAAACTGAATCTAAGTGGTTTGCACATGTTTGGGAAGAAGGTCATTTAAGAGAAATGTAGAAATACAAGTTTTCATGAATGGTAACCTATCATGAAGCTCAATCGGAGAAACTGATCCTGAGAGATGATTAGAAAAAGAGAGTTACTGCGTTTACACGCTTTCCCTCCATTTCCCTTTTTAAAAGCAGCCACAGGAGCTGGGTATGCCAGTGTACACTGGAATCGAGTGCTGGGATGCTGAGGCAGGAGGGTCACAATTTTGAGGCCAACCTAGGTGGGCCACAAAGGGAGCCGAGGCCGGCCTGGGCTGTGTCTCTAAACAAAAACCAGCTTCGGGGCTGGGAGCACAGCTTGGTGGTGGAGGCCCCAGTCCCTTCCCAGCACTGCACATGCGCACTGCTTTATTGAGGTGTTGTCATACAATTATCTTCTGAGACAGGGCCTCACTGTGTAGTTCAGCCTTGCCTTGAACTCAGTCTGCAGCTCAGGCTGACCTTGAACCGGTGGTGATCCTCCTGCCTCAGCCTCTTGAGTGCTGGGATTATAGGCGTGTGCTGGGCTTCTCACATTTTGAATTTCCAGTTGTTTGAATATAGATAAGAGTAGCATCCAAGTTCACATAAAGAAATCACAAGGCCTTTTTTGGGGTTTCCCCAAATCATTTCTACCTTTCATGTCGCTGCTGCAAAATCAGAGGACACCGTCTGAGAAGCTTTACCCTCCCAGGTGCTAGGTGTGTGTGACACCCATGTGTGCAGCGTGCAGCTACCTTAGCACAGCTGACCGGAAGTGGCCCCTTCCTTGGGCTGCTTCCCTTTCTCTGTCCTTTCCGGCTGGTGAATCCCTCTCTGCGCAGCAGGAATTTCATAGGAAGTGTGTGACAGCAGTCTCCCTTGAGGGTGAACGTTGATCCTGTCCTGAGAATTCTGGAATTGCATCTCCTCAGAGCACTCCCGCTTGCTCCTTTCGTTAGTGGGACGCACCTGCCCTGCCTTAGCCTTCCCTGGCTGAACGCTGCCACTGGCTCCCCTCATGCTGAGGAGTTCACGCTCCCGCACCATAAAACCGGAAGTCGGGGCTGGGGTGGGCTCAGAGCCCAGAGCCCTGGGACTGCAAAACAAAGAAACTGATAAAATGCAATCATGAATTTGAGGTGACAAGTATACTTTTAGAAAAGGTTTGGATTTTTTCTTTGTGGGGAACAGGGAAAGGGGACATTACTAGAACCTGTTCATCAGGCCCCAGTCTCCTGCAAACCGTGACAGCACAGGTGAATTAATTAATATATAAACAGAAATGAGACTTGGAGAAACTGAGCTTTGCCCTGATCCGTGCTGCTCCGGGCAGCGAAGACCAAGACCTGGAGCTTCTCACACCTTTATTCAGAACAGCAGCAAAACAACAGTAGCAACTGACTCCGAGGGCCTGGGCCTGGGCCTGGCGAGGATCCTGGAACTTCGCCGAGGAAGGTTTGGCTCCTCCCAGGATGTCTCCAGCTGGTGTAGTCCTGCCCTGAGCATCACAGCATCACGGGACAGGACAGGAAGTTGAGGTCTTAGCTGTGACCAGAGGCGAAGATGAATTTATGTCTCTACGTGCCCATAGCTGGCCTGCAGACAGAAAAACTAGGCCCTAATCATGATTTAATTATGAAAGGATTTCCCCCCAAAATCATATAGGATGGCTCCTGATGATTCTTGTACCAAGTTAATTGAAAATAGTGACATTGAGCTTAGCCCTGTTTGTTTAAAGATGGGGCGTTGCTGTGCAGTTCAGGCTGGCTTGAACACACTGTGTAGCCCAGGCTGGCCTCAAACTTGTAGCAGTTCTCCTGCCTCAGCTTCCCAAGTGGTGGGATCACAGTTATGCACTACCATGTCCAGCTCCAAGTATTTTAAAAAATCTGTCTTTTAAGCATTAATTTTTTTGGGCCCAGGATTTAGCTCAGGGGTTCAGCCTCCTGCCTTGAAAGCACAAGGACCTGAGTTCTAACCCCGGTACCAAAAAAAAAAAAAAAAAAAAAAAAAATTTTTTGAAAAAATTTTATTTCTTTGAAATGTGGTTGAAGAACTTATGCTGCATCATTTTGAATGTTAGGATGTATGGAGGAAAATACGTGTTTTTATAAATGTTACTTGTAGGACATAAGAGAATGGATACTTGATTGGGTTTTGAATTCTCTGTATATCTTTGTAGCTAGGCAGCAGCACCCTCACGTATGTAGTTGAGCTGGTACCCAAATGTCAGAGCCATTTAAAAAAAAAACCCTAGAGAAAAGTGTTCCAGGAAGCAAGGACAGCAAGTGCAAAGGCCCTGAGGCAGGAAGGAGCTTGATGTGTTCTGTGTGAGAAAGGATGGAGCTTGGTGGGTGACCAGGGGCATGATGTGAGCCAAGTTTCCGAGGGAAGTCAAGGCCTGAAAGAAACCGGCACTTGCCAAGGATCACTCCGCATACTGACAGAGCTCATATGAGAGGTCTTTATTAAAAGCCTTGGTAACAAAAGAGAAGGGGGAAGGAGCCAGGGGAAAGGGCTTGGTTATATAGTAGGTGACTGGTGCAGGCGGGTTGGGGATCGTGTCGGCTGCGTGGGCAGCCACTCGGGCCACTCTTGGACATTCATTCCTTATACGGACAAGCCTTGTTCGCCTGCCGGTTTTATGACCGGTGATGCGTGAGGTAGAAAGTGAAACTTTAAGATTAAAAAGAAAAGTTATTTATCAAAATGGCGGCAACCATTCCGAGGCCCTGGAGACTGTGAGCCCACAGTGCGGACTTCGTTGGTTAACACAGATGATTCGCTGGCCACTTACCAGGTAGCAAGCTGAGCACCCTGCATAAGTTAATGTCCAGAACAAACAATCTCACTTTGTACACTGCGGAGAGCTTTTTTTTTTTGTACGGGGGATCGAACTCAGGCCCTTGTGCTTGCAAGGCAGGAGGCACCACTGAGCTAGATCCCCGGCCCCTGTCCTTTTGCAAATGAAACACCTGAGATGACTTGGGAGGTGACAGCCGGCTCCGTGCGTGCCTCTCTCTTTTCCACTGACTCCACCGCCTGGCTCCTCTGCCTTCTGTGTGGCTCCCTGCTCCTTCTCCTTTAAAGTGTTCTGCCCTCTCATTCTCCTGGATTCCTGGCCACACTGGATTTGCCACTGCATGTTTTCCTAAGAAGATTCGTTTCTGTGCATTAGGAGGGTACGCACGGGTGATCAGCAGGTGAAGGGGCCTGCTGTGGGGCACAGACCAAAAGAACAGGACTCTGCTAAGACAAGAAGTATCTCCTTCTAATCACTTACAGAAATTTCCACAAAATCTGGAAGCCTCACAGGAGGAGACGGAACATGTCCTTTGCATTTCCGGCTTGGGAAGTGGGGGGCAGGTGGTACTATGAGCTGCTGCTCTGAGGTTCAGGAAGAGCCTATGGGGTGGGGTGGTGGAGCGGAGATGTTGCTGTCTCTCTTGGAACTGCTTTTGTTTCTGTTTTTGTTTTGTTTGAGACAGTAGTTCATACTGGCCTTGAACTCATGGGATCCTCCTGACTCAGCCTCCCAAGTGCTGGGATTACAGGCGTGCATCAGCAACACTGAGCTAAATCCCGGGCCTCCTATACCTACTTGTTTGAGTGTCCTCTGAACTGTCAGTCGCCTCTCCAGAGGTCGTCAAATCCATCTGTGTGGAGCACAGCAGGGAGGGTTGGCACTGTCCACATCACGAGAGCTAGCACGTAAGGAACAACAAACCAAGACAAGCCCTTCTCAGTAAAGAGCTTTTTTGGTTAGAGGAAATAAAACCGAAACCGTGGTGCCTCACCATGCTCCACAGTCTTGCGCGGGGCCCTGTTGGAGCTCCCTTCCCTGGCCTCTCACGGTGGCGATCACTTGGCTGAAACTGTGGGTCAGCTTGGCCGCAGCCTCCTGCTCCCCTGGGTCAGGAAGACTCGGACTCACGTGACCTGGAGAATTCATGGCCAACTCTGGCATCAAGAGGGCGAAGGCCGGAGGCTGTGATGGCCCAGTTGCCTGATGTCAGGGAGGAGCCGAGCCGTACCTGGGGTGGCTGGGCTGTGGGCTCCTAGGCGCAGGCGCGGCAGTGCCCCAGCTTTAGGGTTCACTCTGGGGCTCTGCTGATGTGCAACAACTCTGGATCGGCAATGCCCCAAACCAGGGCCTGTGGAAAGCCAGGACTTTTCCTCCTCTTAACTCACTGCCGGCCTTTTTGTGACTTCCTAAGAAGAGGAGGAGGAGAGAAAAGAGACTCAGTTTATGTGGCTGCATATTGGGGCAAATGCTTCATGGATTAGTGAAATGGAAATGAAAGCGATGTCTACCACTACTTGTAATTTACTTTTCACACAGTGATCAGAATGAGCTTTTGAGAAAGTAGATCTTACCAGGCTCCTGTCTAAGAGCCCCACGACCTGCAAGGCTCTACGCAGCCCGGTCCCTTGCTGAACTTCTCTGAAAGGCCTATGGCATAGTCAGATGGGTCGCCTTTACATTCTGCAAACCTGCTGTGCTTTTTCTGCCCCAGGACCTTTGCACATGTCATTCACTTTACCTACGATGCTTGTCCTTCCCTTACTGACCTAGTTAACTAGTTCTTTCTCTTGAGGTTTTACCTAACTTGTTTCTTTCTCTGTAGATTTCTCCAATCTCCCCCAAATAGGTCAGATTGTCTGATTTTGGGCTGCTGGAACCCCTTCAGCCTCCTTTATCATACTACTCATCACACTTTGCAGGCCAACATTTGCTTGAATCACTTGATTATTGTCCATCTTCATGTAGTTCCAGCTGCCTATCTGTCATCAATCTCCAGAGGTTGTCTCAGTATTTGTTGAATGAATGAATGAACTGTGATTTCGGGACCTTCTGAAAAAAAGGAATTAAAGAGAAAACTTAAATTATACAAAAATTTTTTTATTGCCAAAACAGTCATGTTAAGAATACACTGCTAACACAGAATTAGGAAGGATTTAAAAAATGATTCCATTTAGAGAGGGAAACACAAGTCCATTATCAGTTCTTTATGAAATCAGCCAGTGGCCAGCAGGAAAGCAGCCTCCTTTCTGACACAGCTGGAACGGGGAGTTCTGCACAGTCACAATAACAGGGGATGTAAGAAAGTAGATCCTGAACCCCAGTACTCTGGGAGTCTGAGGTGGGAGGATTCAGAGTTAAAGCCTAGACCAGGCAATTTAGTGAGACCCTATCTCCAAATAAAAAGATTGGGATATAGCTCAGTGTGAAGACCTTAGTTTCAACCCCCAGTAATACAATTAAAAAAAAAAAAA